TGAATTGTTTTTGTAATCTGTTCAGGTAGGTGGTTGAGCCATTTGCAAATCATCTACAATAAAGATGATGAATGATCAGCCACAACAACAACCGATACCACAATCACAACCACAACCGAGGAAAAAAAGAACAACCACATGTCTAATGGATATAACAGAGCCACAAGAAGTTGAATTTAACAGTCTTGGTCAGCATTGTGGCCATAAGCAAAATAAGTTCGCCAATGATTGCGGGGTTGTTACGAGAAAGTTAATTTCTATCGAATATCCGACTTGGAAGAAAGTGCCAGAAATTAAAAGGAGAACTTATGGTTGACCATCAAGGTTTGTTATCTAATATACATTACATGTCCTTTCATTTGATTAATATATGTTACTAATAGTTATTTTTTTTTAAAAATAAACAAAAATAGAAATGTTGGAATATCCATGATGAAAAACGCAGAGCATATGTGCTTATGACTTGCAACCACAAGTGGAGATCATACAAGAAGAGGCTTAAAAATAATTTATTGACCAATGAGAATGAGAGAAATCCACTTGAAACCTACTTATATTTGGAGAAGACTGCATTGCAAAAATTTAAGGAAAGGATATCATCAAAGGAATTCCAGGTTTGTAGGATATAATGTCTCTTGATAATATTAATCATTATGTTGCAGTTTCATAATTGTGGTTGTTGCTTTCATTGGCAGGATATAAGTGAGAAAGCAAAGATGAGTTCAATGTGTAATACGAATCCAGCCCGAGTAGGCCCACATGGTTATCGGGGCAACAAACCTAAGTGGGAACAAGAGAAGGCATCGGGTGAGCTACCGCCACAGTTGTATGAGATAAAAAGCGAGCGTTCATTAGATTATGTGTTGGGGAGAAGATCTAAAAATGAGTTAGGGTCAAAAATAATACCACCTAACATGGAACCCATAGTAAAAAAGCTTGTAAGATTGTTCTTAATTTTGTTTTTTAAAATTGTTTAATCTTTTTTGTCTAAGTAATTGTATTGACTATTATGTTGTTTGCATTAACAGATACATGTTCAAAAAGAAATATCCAACAGTGATTTGTTGCCGGGTCCCGGAGAGGATTTCTTGACTTTGGCAATAGGACTGGAGCACCCCGGTCGCACTAGGGCGGTGGGGCATGATATTGGCTTAAGAAAGGGGATGCAAGGACTTGAAAAAAAAGAGGAAAGCCGTGGACAAAGAAGTTGTTAGTAAGATGCAGGTCCAGTTAGACGAAGCTGTGACCCAATTGGAAGAGTTAAGAACATTGTTTGCAATGCAAGAGTCTAGGAACCAAGTCCCGAATAATGTGTGCTTCGGTGTTCAAAACAATAGTTCTGGCTCGACATCGACATTGGATGCCTTAGATACGATAAAGGTAATTCTTTATTATAGCATCAACCTTTAACAACTAATAAAATCCACAACTCAATTAGTTGATTACATAAATTTATTATAATTATGTGGTACAAATTGGGAAAAGAATAATAAAATTCACTTGTTTATTGTTTCGGGCAAAACAAAGTATGAAAATAGATACATAATTGAATAAGAGTTGATAACTGATTATAGTCTTCTATAATGTCCAAGTGTTTCAAAAAAGCTACAAAATATTCCCCTGTATGTGTTATGTATATGCTGTACAGAGCAAACAATAAAACTAGATAAATAGAACTTGTGTAAAAATTACAGAATGATCCTTATGTTACAACAATTACAGAAATGGTCCCTATAAGTTTTTTCTACAGAAATGGTCCCTGTAAGTTTTTTTTACAGAAATGGTCCTTGTAAGTTTTTTTACATAAATGGTCCCTGTAAGAAACAATTACAAATCCCTGAATTTACAAAAGAAGGCACTATGCAGAAAAAATTACAAAAAAGGTACATGTAATGTATAGAAATGCAGAATTTAGCATATTTTTTTGTATTAATGTGTTAGGTTTATGTTTTTTGAATTTCTTGATATCATATGACTTTGAACTTTGCTGTCAAATTATGTTTTACATTGAATTTTCTAACATATTGACACATGAAATACACTACATGCTATATGATTGCAAACTATTACTCATTGTGATTTGGTGTTATCTTATGGTGATATGAACGAAAAGTGTATAGAAATGCAGAATTAGTCACTATGCTATACAAATGTACAATAATGGTTCATGTGTGATAGAAAATATATTAAAATAGTTCCAAACTTTTGTATTTAGCATAATTTTCTGTTTTAATGTGTTAGATTTATGTTTTTTGAATTTCTTGATATCATTTTACTTTGAACTTTGCTGTCAAATTATGTTTTATATCAAATTTTCTAACATGCTGACACATGAAATACTCTACATGCTATATGATTGCAGACTATTACTCATTGTGATTTGGTGTTACCTTATGGTGATATGAGCCAAAAATGTGCCAGAGGGATGGTCTTTCCTTATACTGATGGGTTAATTCACTCACTTCCTCTTATAATGATGGGTTAATTCACTCACTTCCTCTACGAGAAATCACTTGAAAGTTATGATAGACAACATAGATGAAAGATATAAAGGTATTCCTGTTCCTGTGATGACAAATGAAGTTGGCATCCTAGAAGATGCAGTTGGCACTGTAATTCAATAGCCGCGGATCGCAATTGTTCTTAGTAAGGTACATCTTCATTATCCTTTAATTTTTTATCTACCATATATACCTTTTCTGAAAATGAGAGAATTCCCTATATGCTCCTATTAAACATCAAAATATTATATTTAGGCCGACAAATAAAATATTTTGATGTTTAAGAATGGCATATACGATGTTCTCGCTAATTAAAATGAGTTATTAATAGGAACAACAAAGCAAGGCGCCATCACAACAACAAATTCAGACCACAAGTGCGCGACCATCAACCACAAAGGCTGTTATGGAAAAAAAACATGCCTAACCAAAAGATCAACAAACCAAGGCCAATAGAATCACTTCGTGACCTTTTGAAGACCAACCTAGTGGTTCATGTGGTAGCCGATGCTGGACATCTCGAATCTGGGGCGTTTGATTTTTCAGTTACATATGAAGAATATTATCGTTTGTTGAAAAAACAAACAGCTAATTTGTCCATCATAACAACTTGGCAGATGTAAGTGCATTCAAATTTTACTATTATTTTTTTTCATGATATTTTCTTTTTAGGCTGCTTATAAGATATTACTTGATTGTAAATTTTTTGTAATATTGTTTGTAGCCTTCTACACTTAATGCTTCGGAAACGTATGGGAAAGTGTGCTTTCCTAAACCCATATAAGATTCTTGGGAAAGCCTGTCAAGAAACTCCGATTGATGTCGTCAATTATCTCGTTGATGCGATGCAACTTCATCATGGAAAATTGTTTCTTATCGCACCATACCTGCAAAAGTATCATACGTTGCTATCTATATATTTTTTTATTTTTTTATTTTTTTATTTTGTTTAATACTAAAATTTCAAACCATTACTACTACCTGCTCAAACTTTTGGAAAAGTAAGAAATTTCTTAATATGATATAAAAATAACATTCTTTGTTTAAACAATACAATCCTACTATATCCTTTGTTTAAACAAAGTTTTGATATTGCTCTACCTATCATTTTGTCTCAATGTCATTTCTCCAAAAATAATTAATGGGCTTTTTACTTGCTTGCCCTAAGAAAACAATATTACTACTCTAAGAACTGCAATTTACATTATGTGCATTGAGCTCTAATGCACAATATCATTGCCATGGATTCCAAATGCAAATTCTGGTGCTATAGGTATGCCCTATAATTAAATTCCGGTTTCAGTTACAACATAATGGCAACGTACTTTACTCTTGCAGATAGTTTATGTACTATATTTTTTTACCTATAATAGCAAAGTACAAATAATTATTGTTTACTAATAGTAGTCATATGTAACCTACATTATCGATGTAGTTGCAACTCTAAAATCAAAAACTTTGTAAACAGGTAGATTTAGCTCTTTGTTCTTTCAATTCATGATGTATCAATATTAGAATGCTTTTTAACAACCCCTTTGTTATGAAGATCAAGATGTATCCTTATGAGGGAGCTTTTGATGTAATCGAGAAGATTTCCTTCAACTATATTGTTGGGTCGTGCTAAGCACAGGCCGAAAACCTTTCTAGTATATATATATATATATATATATATATATATATATATATATATAT